ACTGGTATTAATGGTTACCCTAACTCAACATGGTTCGTGTAAAAACGACTGAACGGAACCAATCAAATTGTTTGGTGAACCTAATGTATTCGCATAACATATTTTATGTTATAATAATATTATCCACTATATTTCACATTTAATGTGGCAAAAATGGTAGAGATTACGTAAAGATCCTTTGCGATTCTCACCAATTGCGACACAACATTTTTAAGCACCCTGTATAGTCATCGTTTACGTACATCACGAACTAAGATATATCTTAGCCGGTGACGTGCACTGGACGGGGGAGGGTATTGTGGTTAGAACCCCATAATCGTTTGCATCGACCGTTTTTGTATTTTTAAACGACGCCACGTCAGTATATAATAATTAAATAATGTCAACAATCGAAGTTTGTATATTCACTTTATTGTGTGACACTATAAAAAAACATCTGGTGTGTACCTATTTTGATATAATATTCTAAAAATATAATTAATAATAGTTGATAACATAATTCATTGCTTTGTTAAACCTAAAATATTATGGCATACCTACAAGTTACAACAGTTTTATAATATTGACGGACTATGCAAAGTTTTCAGATTTATTATGAAATATTATACTTCATTATTATACAATATCTTTGTAAAATAGTAGGTACTAGTAGGTACTTACTTAATATAAAGTATATTATCCACTTGACTCAAATAAACAAATACTGCACATCCATAATTAAAAAGTAAAAAATTAGGTAAGAACTAATTAACCCTGCACAAACGTATGTCCACACTCAAACAATGGTTTTTATACATTTTTGTAGTTTTGTTAGATTCGTACAACTACCTCAATTATACTTTGAGCTGATTTTGTTTATTATACGATAATTATATTTTGTAATCATTACGCTTTACGATAACCGAATAAAAAAGGCAAGAGTTTGTGCAAGCTTAAAATAAAATAAAAAATTCTCATTCTCATTCTCCCTCCCATTACCTATTGATTTGGAATTTCTGAGCACACCATGTATATTGTATAATGTATATTATAGTAACTGTGCCCTATGCCTATTGCCTGTCCAATTTGTATCATGCCAAGTACTCAACACTCGAAATAAGTTTGAATCACACTTTATTTACGAATATTGATATATTTATTCTACTAATAATTACGAGTGGTGTCCACCGTGTCGATGTTTAGATGCCTAGTCATAATTCATAACAATTAACATTAAGATAAAATTAACAGAAAAGTATAAGTACACCGTAGGCCCAACTATATGGTTCGTTATTGTATACATTTTGTACTACCAATAAGTTGAATAAGTCCTCCTCTCATTTTTGTCCCACTATAATTGTTGTCATCGTCGTCGTCTTGTTTGTTTTTACGTATACTTACATAGGTACCTATATAATAATTGTATCATAATATTATTATTCATATTTAATATCGCCTACTTATCTGCGTTGAACAATTATTAATAAGGTACCGAAAACCACAAGACGATTTATTTTTCAACTGTGCATTTCATAGTATTTATTTATTGTTAGCCCTAGTAAATTAATTTCATGAGTGCTGTGTACACCCATATAATTTGATATATTACTGCAGATATATGATAATAATATAATAAAAAGCTATCTTTTTTCTTATCGAAAATTCGTTCGGAGTACCACCCGATAACTTTGTAAAGAAACGTACACATCACAGTATTCAATAATTTTTGATTGAACTTCTTACACGTTCAATATTAATTTTTTTACAATCCACATTCACAAGAACAGCTCTCAATTTTAGTAAAATACTGTATTGTCGTGATCGGGTTTGGTCGTGGTCGTGGTCGTGGTCTGAAATTGTACGGCGGCGGTTAATCTGAAGGAAAAATATTGAATCCATTTTCTGGCCTGCAGAAATGTTTAACTCTAGAGTATAAAATATAAACATTCCCTGGGTATCACATCGTCGCCCGATCATTTACAATTATTATCACCCGGTATACAGATCCTCAAAGCAAATTATGAAAGATTGATAGAATCGGTAAAATACAGATGACATTAAATAATCAGCAGATAATGTTTAATATTAGACTAATTAATGTCACGCAATAATAACTTGACTTTAGTGATATACATAAATAATTCGCTTGACCATTTAGCAACTCCTTACACTCCATGCAATGCACATTTCATACTCATGTTCACTAGTAAAAATATAACAAAATAATATAACACGTAATAAAATCATTAAGTATTAACATTTGTAGCTTGCCAAAAGTAAAAAGTAAAAACTACCAAAACATCGAAATATCGAAAATAATACAAATTAAATAAAATATTTCTTTTCGTGATATTATTCAGTATATAATCAATACATAATACATATATGTGTAACTGAATGTCTGTCTGTCTGTCCATCATTTATGTCTGCAGCCTAAACTGCAGAAACACAATGCAAGACTGCCCTGTTTTTTGGATGTGTTTGAGTGGTCCCTCGAAGATTTAGATCCACAATTGGACCCGATAGGATAGGTCCCGGGAAGTTGCTCAAACAGGGATTTTAAGATTTACGAAGGAAATATTTGTTTATACAAGGTTGCTATTGGCATTGATTTTAGAATATACTAAAATCAATGCTATTGGTTATAGGAGAAATATAAGTAAATTTAGTAGAAATTGGTATTTTTTTTTTTTTTGTTTATTGGTTGCCTGCAGTGGTTCATCGGGCAGATCAGGTATAAGCATTCATACAGTTGAATTTTTGCACATTGCCTACCAAGGTGGCCGAGTTGCACTTATAGCCACTCATCGGCGTGTCCGCAATAAAAATAAAAACAAAACATATTATTTATATAAAGTACCTACGCATCAAGCGGGGTCCACAATCCACAGCGGGTATAGGCATAATATACTGATCGCATTGTCACCATCAAGTCTCATATAAAGTTGTCATTTTTAACGGGCAACAAAGTACACGGGATCAACTAGTTTAAAATCTAAGAGGAATAATATTATTATTTTACCACCGGCCGATGTTCACCACCCTCGAAAATCACTATTATTTTAGATTCTGAGAGTCGCGATGAATGTATTGATTTAACAATGATGACTGTGTTTTTGACATAGTTATGTTTATAGGCTGGATACAACTTTTTTTCTTATAACCGATTTTTTTGAGTGACATTTTGTTTATCGCCATAGAGGCGGGAATAAATAAAACAAAATAAAATATATTATATTAAAAATCAATTTACAAGTATTATTAATTCATTAAATTCCAAACAAAATGTAAAATGCTCCATGTTTTCTCTAGATTATGAGCGGAGCGATGAATATATTGATTTTACAATAATATATGTGGTTTTTTTTATAATTTTTTTTTTTTGTGGTCTGTCGTTGTCTTTTGGAGCAGTAAAAATGTTTGGATATTCAACTCCAGAGTCTTTTCCTATAAAAAAGTAAATCTTGTTGGTACCATAGAGTCAAAAGTAAAAAATTCCCAGTAGTTTAAGAAGCGTAGGAAAACACATAACACAAATTAAGAAAAAACAGAACATTTTACGCCAAACCAGTTCTTGACAAAATTGTTTCTGTGGTTTTTAATGCAACTTTAACGTTACTTTAAAAATAATTTTCAATCCCTTTCCTATTTAAAACTAACATTATCGGAAATGTAGCTTTATGGTGATGTAAGCTATAAATTCGGAATTCCTTCCACTGAAAATTTTTTTAAAAAAAGGTAAAATATGCATGGAAATGGCTAGCAACAGGTGTTGCCCACACTTAGATAAGATAAAATTAATATATTCGAAATTTTATTTTTTCAATATCTACATAATATACATAGCCATTTATATGAATTGACAAGCCCAGTTTGAAAGGTAAAAGTACGATCCTTCTTCTTCAAAATCTATGTAACATAAACAGCGCTTAAAAAGCGATTTTCAATAGCTTTCACAGTTTAAAATAACATTTTCGAAATTTTTTTTGCGAAAATATTACTTACCAGTGCTGTAAGCTATTAGCTATTAGTTTTGAAATAAGCTCGGAAATCCTAAAACCGCAAACTTCGAAAACACGTAAAAAATGCATGGAAATGGCTAGCAACAAATGTTACCCACACTTACATAGGAAAAAATTAACAATTTAGAAATTTTATTTTTCAATATCTAAATCGCCATTTATATGAATAGTCAAGCCCAGTTTGAAAGGTTAGTTACAATTCGCTCTTCTCCTTTAAAATATTTAGATATTCATGTATCATAAATATTTTTCTTTTCATACCTATCTAAAGTATAAAAATGTAATACAAAATTCCTCATAAGTTTCCCTGTCTTAAACAAAACAAAAAAAGTTTACCGAAAAATTAAATTACGGTCTCGCATTGTTGAGAAACGCAAATGTTTTAATAATTTATTAAAAGGTATGGTTTGGTTAATGAGATCGAGACCTCGACCGTAGATATCTTCGAACAAAACTTTAATTTTACTTGGTTAATTAAATTGAATATACTGGGGACTGCAACCAGCAATTTTCGATCGGTCGTGGCGACACAAACATTATAGTCGCTATCAGTGGCGAATCTGAGGTTGAACTCTGGGGAGAACTTCTAAAAAAGTAGGTACTATACCTACCTAGTTGAAAAAATATGCACACACAATTTTTTTGAGCATCTTGCAGTACATAGTGTACTTTAGTCTATTTGTGAATTAATCTATAAACCGAACACATCACCTCCTACTCATTCGAACATGATATTTTAGTAAATATCAAGTGATGGTTGATAATCTGGAGATCCAAGGCACCTGCCTCCCCTCGGATCCAAATCTGGTCGTTTTTATAATACGGTTTGAGAGATGAACTACTAAATAGCGATTTCACACCTGCTCTAGGAGATGATAGCGGATTATTGTAGATGACTAAAAAAAAATAATTCAGGCAATTATTTTTCTATGATAATAATATATTGTGTGACTGTTTTGAGATAATATTATCACCTAATTTTTTCGATTATTTTTGCAGTTTGTGTGCGGTTTCGTGCTACTATGGACGCTGACACTGATCAGCATGGACCGTCACCGGTGCATCGTCGTACCACCGTACCGGTCACAGCTGACACCCCGCCGTGCCACCGTGCTCACCGTACTCACGTGGCTGATCGCGCTGGCGGTGTTCATGCCCGTGCCGTTCTGGTTCCACGAACAGGCCGTGCTAGGAGACACAGCAGTCAATGTATGCACGCTGGTGTTCCCCAAGAACGACACGTTCAAAATGTCCATCGTGTTCACCGTGTCCGTGGTGTCGCTGTCCTGCATCCTGCCGCTGTCACTGTTCGTCTACCACTACCAGAGGATATTCCACAAGTTGAACAAGACCCGACGGAGGATCGAGCACTCGGTCTCGCATCGGTCAGCAGTCGTACACACCACTTCGCGGAACAGCCTGTCACCGCCCTCCAACGGTTCCATACCACAGGTACGTGCACGCACATTTGTCATATACTTACCGATAATCGCGGTATATGGTAACAAAAATACGTTAACTGGTTAGACTAGGCGTCATGTCATGATTTGTGCATTTCCTGTACTTGTTTGCATTTTCACTGCTTCTGCAGGATTCATTTATATCGGATATTGTCACTGATTATAGTGCATTTTGGTTTTTTTCTAAAACTTTATTATGTCTTAAATTATTCACACTGTATATAATACTATAGTATTGTATAAGACGTGTGCCTATTTTTTTATTAACTTAATGGATATCAATACAATTTTAGACCTACCTTATTGTTCCAGTAAGTATGGACATATTCAAATTGTTTTCCCCGAATTTGTTTGAAATTAAATTTATAAAAATGTTAGCTTTTAAATTGTGCGAGTGGGTGGTTTTAAAATTGTATTTTTATCATTTAAAAAAAAAATCTACATATTAAACATTTGCCGATATATTATTATTATAAAATATAGGTAAATGCGAGTATGTTTATTGATTTAAAAGAACACAGTCGTCATACAGTATTATTAGCATAAGGAACTCACGGGTTCGAATTTGAACGGGAATTAGATATAGTTATAACAGATGGACAGGAAAGTACGCAGAAAGTACTTTAGAATACGGCAGAGTCGTTTCAGAAAAGTACATAGATATTTTTCAATATATATTTTCGAGAATCGCTTGGCAACTTAGCACCATCCATCACTTCGTAGAAAAAAAATATATTATAATATAGGCCACAATATTGTCCTGTATAACCTACCTACCTAATCTAACGTCTCTGCTGTAACTGCAATTCGATGAATCTCGTCTCACTAGTCACTTATAAGTTCCTAAACAGTATTTTAATAATACGACAATACGAGTAGTATGTATACATATATTAACTGTGCAGAATTGAACACTGCAATAGACTCGTGTGCCGTGTTAGAATGAAATTCCACAGCATCAGCAGATAAATAGTTTTTATATACAATATATTATACATATTGTAGTATTCGTCGGACGAGACAATTTATACGAATTTTATTGCAGTTGACCTTTTGTTTGTTATTAATTGCGTCTGGTCTTGTGCGGTGCAGAAAATTATACGAAAAACAGATGTAATTCAGTCATACGAATCTTTAATGCAACCCGAGCATCCAAGGGCATTCGCTCAATAATTGTCAACCCTAAAAATCATCCTTAAATAATATTGTACATTCGTTCGTGCGAATGAACCCTTAAATGATAAGCGTGTTCGACAATAAAATATTTCATTGTTGATGCATCAGTTTAGATTCTGAGCGGAGCGATATAAATGTATTAATTAATAATTTCACTAATTATTTTGAAAAAAAATTTTTTTTTTTATTTAGATACCAATGCTATAATAATAGTAATAATTAAAAAATATGAAAGATAGGCATGACTTTTTTATGTAATTATGTTAAGTTAAAATTTTTACAAAAATCACCAAAACTTGCAAATTATTTTGTAGCTAAAAATGTGTACAATTTAAAAAAAAAAATAACGATATTAGTCATTGTGCTGTAATTCAAAAACATTCTTCTTGAAGTCTTAAAACGTTTACGAATTTTATAAATTTTACTATATAGAATTATATTTTCAAAATATTTTAGATTAATTAGATTAATTTTAAGCTCATTACCTATTTATACCAAGAGTCCATGAACATATTCATACTTTTCTATGTTAAACTGGTATTGCTTCAAAAGTTAATAAATACAAATTATGTAGCATGATAGAAATATACTCTATTGTAATAATTAAATACTAATTAGTAAAATAAATGCAATGTTTTTGGAAAAAAATTAATCAACCTGCCTGTAATACCTATGAGTAAAATAAGTTGATACAATGATATTAAATCACTGAATTCAAGTTAAACACATCCATTACAGCAACCCACTCGATACCTACTTTACAGCAGATCGGTACCCACTTCTCACCTTGTTTTGTTGATTTTCTTGTTGAGCTTATTTTTTCAACTAGATGTTCTTTTTAGACGGTAGGTACTCATAATATTAGATAGCTGCCGTCATCCAGTCTTTCCTGTACAAGTGTGCATCTTGTTGATTCGGGCACTATTGATCCAACATTATACTCATTTGATTCACCCCTGTGTACAGTGTACACGCAAATACTTGTATACATCACTCGTTCAAGGTGTGTTAGAATTTAATGTTCCAGGACTCTAAAAATATGAATAATATTATTAGTTCAGTCATAGTAATAAATCAGTAACACATGGAGGTTCCATAAAATAAATGCTAAGTATAGATTTTCTAAGAGCGATTATAGTTGGTGACCAATAACTGCAATGTCCTTTTTCAAATATTCAAGGAGAACAAAATATCCTTTGGTGCAATCTTGCTACAATAGTATCGTTTTATATTATTTTAGATGGACTCAAATAAAATCGTATCCAATAATGATTTTTTTTTTAAAGAAGTGCTAACTTGTGTTCTTTTGCAATATTCTACCTTTTGAAATATTTATTAAGACCATTTGACGATAATTCTATAAAATAAAATCTGTTTTGGGTTTTCGATGTAATAAAATATATAGCGAAACAACCTACATCTAATGCATGAAATATAATATGCGGAGTGAGAAAGATTTGAGCAGCAGTTTTCAATAATTGTAAAATCATCGTCACCATAATCTCTAAGACTATAATGTGTATAATAATAAAAGATAAAATGTCTTTAAAATAAAATATATTAAAATTAACTATACCGTGGTGATGTTATACGAATCCTGCAACTTGCAAATATTCTATATACGCATTTTAAAATTATTGAATCCCACGGTACTCGGCGATGGAGTCTCGATGAATAAAACATCACCTGCACCCACTACCGCAAGGACTTCTCTAATTCTTTCGCTACACAGTTAATTATTATATACGACCTCCCTACCTAATTTGTGTGAAATCCAACACTAGTTTAGCTGTAAACTGTAATAATACTGTCTTATCATAAATCATTATTTTGTCATTATAAAAATAAATTGTGTACGACATAAATAGAAAGAAGACGTGAAAAATAATATTATTGTTGATTAAACGAGTATTAATTAAAAATTATGAAGTTTAAAAACATGTCAATCATGAAGGCTATATTGATTTTACCAGTACATATATATATATTGAGAAATGGTAATAATAAAAGCAGCTAAAAAGTTCCATTCTCAATATAAGTTAAGTATTTTATTTATTTTTATTTAAATTTAAATCTATGAGATTACTGGGCCTAAGTGGGACATACTCGTGTGGAGGCTCAGGGTTATCTACTATACATTACACATTTACATAAAAATTTTAATTAACAGACATCTATAATAATAATAATAATAAGTATAATATTATATTTACAATTTAACATCAAATCCCATATCATTTGAGAATTTCGGATGAAATCATAAAAATATATGAAAATATCTTTTAAAAAAAATTCTTGAATTTGAAGCATCAATAAGGACAGTCTCTTCTCCTACCAACAATCAAACCAACATTAATCATACAGCACTTACACTGCTTGTAAATCATTTCTTTATAGATGTTTAATAAAAATGTAAGTAAAAAAAAAAGTATATAATATTGCTGTTTATCGATTCGTCATCGATTTATCATTTGTAACTCAAGTCACCTCTGCAGTTCAGTATTGTATTAAACATTTCACCGGTGTTCCATCAATTGTCATGCACAAGAACAAAAACAAAAAAAACAAGAACCATTGCCAATTTTTAACATTTTTTTTTTTGCATAACATATTAATATGATTCTTCAATTCTTGTGCTTTTATTACTTTTGTATGAATTGTATATTATATATATTATTTATTATAAAATTAATATTAAAAAACTATCATAAAATTATAATTTTCAAATTTCTTTGAATTAATTTGGTTTTCTTATGATTGTGCTATACTTAACAATTAATGTTAAAAACATAAATAATATGGAACATTATATCATAGTAATAAATTGGTAAGTTACTATAGTAACAAATTGTAAGGACAAACGGTCAGAAACAGCGGGCGTACAACAAGGAAATATTCATAGCTAGAGACCCTATAATAAAGCTACCTAGTTAATATTTATTACTTTTATTAAAATTGGTAAAAAAAACTCAATCTCAAAAATTGTAATCGTTGTTTCTTTTCTCTTTATTTAAATTTTAAATTAATTTTTATTACAAAACATATTTTATCTGAATCTAGATATATATTATTCTGATGCGAGAAGTAAACATTTTTTTAAAAATTATTCTAGTAAAACAATTTTAAATTCAACTAGTAACTTTTTTTAATAAATCTACAGTAATTGTATTATACAACTATGATGTATAGGACAATACCTATTATTTTATGATAAATGAATAAATAAATTAAATAAATTAGGATCAATAAATAAAATTGAATATTGATTCACTCCTTATTCCCAAAGTTCTTATAATATGAAATATATATTTTATTATTGTATATGACTGTATTAAACCAAATTTTAAAATATAATGGTAACACAACCACTACCACATAAATCAACATAAGTTGACATATGAGTATGTCTGAGACCATAAGTGTTTTAAAAAAACTGTTGTCAGTACACTCGATGTAAGAATAAGGATTATAATATATTAGTAAATATGGGATATTCGGAAACATTGTTTCTTCTAACAGCCTCACAAATTAAATGATTTTTGTTTTCCAATTTACCAGAAAGATTCAAAATTAAACTCCTACAAGTGGGAAAAAAATAACACACATTTTACAACCACAACTCTGAATAATGTCTTTAAATCCATACATTCTTTAAAAGTATCCATAGCAAATCCATAAAATGTCTTAACCAACTAGAATATTACACATTAATTAGAGACTTCGATGATAGTGAACAATGTAACAATGTGAGTATGTGACTGTTTATGTTACCACACTACAATTGACTTAAAAATAATGATCGTCCAAACAGTCTTCGTGTGGTTACGCTAGAATAATGACCACGGCCCACTACCAATGAAGCAATACAAACTAATATAATTTCGTCTATAGCAGGATTCAATACACGGCTCAATTGGTTTTGCACAAATTGTAACACAGCTGCTGTGTATAATCAAACTACATAAATAGTTGCATCTCCACAATTGTTTTCTCTTCAATAACACTCCCATATAACAGTATAATTTATAATTAATATTAGAAAATCACTGAACATAAACATATAATACAATTTACTAAACGACCGGAATGTTTTTCTATAAGGTTAACTGACCAGGGTATACTTAAAGAGAACGTCTCACACACATATTTTCTCCATCTTGGAAATGCATGTAATAGAAAATTTTTGTTCAGCAATTCTCATTTGGCTTCGCTAATTTTAATATTGGAGTTAAATTTTCTATTATTAAACTTAAAGGTAACAGCATATTTTATGATTTTTTCGATGTTTTAATTTTTAAGTTAACTATAAGTGTGTAAAACAGAGGTCACCTAATGGTGGCCCGTATTCCTTCATATACTGGTGTCGTTGTCATTGTATCATTTAAATTTTAAATAAAATGTAATTTTATGTTTTTAGTAATTATAACAAAGTATAGTTTAACTGCATTGTATGGTCACATCACATACGCGTGCAATGGTCGTATCGAGAAGTGATTGTAAATTGTAATACATAGAAAAAAAATGTTTAGGTAATATATTCATGTACAAAAATGTCATCACCCCCACTCCTTCACAAACATAACCAAATTACGCAACTGGTGACTCACCTTCACCAGGATACAGGTAACGATGACGGCGGCTCGCGACAGCGGCTATATAGTTGCCTGTTGCACCGCACCCGCGGTCGTGATATGACGTCACACGTGATTGTAAAATAATAGTAAATAGTAATTATTCTGTTTGAGCGCGAATGCGATGACAGGAAATCAAAATTAAATCTAATAGTATTATTCTGAAAAATAACATGTATACATGATTGAGATCACTCCAGTGAAATTTGCGATACAGGCATGTATATACAATTACTATATTATATTTTCGTAATTTCTGTGTAATTTCTATTCGGGATGATCCATACCAGACATTAATTATTTCAGAAGACATTTGGGTTTTAAAAAAATTCTTTTTCTCAATTTTAAGTAGTAACAAAATAATATTTTCGGAAAAAAATTATTTTTTTACTAAATTTTATGATTTTTTGAACGACAACAAAAAATTGTTATTTCATATTTAAAGTATTTCGATCTAAGACAATCATATTTCGGATAAGTAGTTTATTAGTTACAAATTATAATTATTTTAAGTTAAGATGAGTGGATTAGTGATCCAACATTTTACGCGGCACTCAAGTACCGGTGTACTACTCCACTTCGCACAAATAAACGTTATACACGTATAGGTAACATTTGATTTTTATACATCTTAGTACCAACTCTAAAAAATATTCTTCTTTGGAATGAGAAATTAAAAATGCAGGTTGTCATTAATACAATTTAAAAATGATAGTGATAAAAAAGTAAGTCAAGAACATATATTTTTCTTTTTAAGTTTGTGCTTTTACAACCCATTAAAATTATGTAAAATACAAATTTCTAATAGTTCTAATAGTTTTTGAAATAATAAGTGCCTTACGTTATATGAATCACGTTATAATATTTATGACCACTGCGATCTAATAACATAGAGTTTCTATAATATAATATTTTTAATAATATTATATTATTATTTCCTCAACCTACACCATCCGGCCCTCCGGTCGCATACGATATCATTATTATTTTCGTAGAGTAACTGCGTCCGAATATGATATGAAACAAAGCGACGGGATTTCACTTCAATATGTTACAGAGTGTAAATATTTTAATTTCTACTAATGGCCTTTCAATTGAACATGTTTACTATAGTATATATCGTAAATATATTCATCATATTTTCTTTTTTAGAAAATAGAAGAAGAAAATATATAATCAACTCAAAAACTTTTCAAATATTTTTAGAATTCTTATCGTGTACAAAAAATGCTAACATTAACAAAGTTCCAAGTGTCTATACGGTTATTCGTTGTTGAGGTCCACGATTGCGATAGCAAAACATCACGGTCTTAACCATTTTAACTATATTGTAGACTTGTATTGTTGCGATGCTCAATCACTCACCACCCAGTACCCACAATATATAAAAGACCGTATATATATATATATCTTATAGGGATAAGACCGTGTAACGGATCGACTTACCAAAATTATTGCTGCGTGGCTGCGGTCCCCAACGTCTGCTACATACGTGTACAATGTACATACACCAACACGTGTTATTAGAACTGAATTGATATCCAGATAGGTAATAATATATTATTACACTCACAAGAAATTTTCTTTCCCTCTCCCCCCCCCCCCCCCCCAAANTTTTCTTTCCCCCCCCCCCCCCCCCTCCCCCCAAATCCTCTTGACACACCGCGCGTAACAATAGAAAACAAGCAGTATTGTACTCGTGGCTAGCTATTATTATACTCGTAGTCTACTTTTAAATATTACGCATTTCGTACACTGTATACTATATTGGTACGTTACAATATTAAAATGTAAAATACATAAAACATACTATCGTCGCGCGTGTAACAATTATTATTTTTGGACGTATAATAAAGTGTGAATATTACAATATTGTATCGTACCGACTGCAGGCTACACATTATTCTGTCGTATCGGATATATTTATATACTATATTAAGCGCACGTGGTAAAAATTTACGACCAGCGCGTGGCTTTTGCACGCGTGTAGCCGCCAAACCAGACTGTAGTTGTATAGGCTATCGTGCTTGTATTGTGATTTTCTCGGTAAATATTTTGTTCGATTATATTACAACAATATGTACACTCAAACTGATTTCATATGCATTTTTTGCTGGTAATCTACAGTGGTCGAGTTGCAGCCTACGTACAGCTACGCGAATCGTGGACCTGCATCCGGTCGGGCCTACTGTATGGAAACGTTACAAATTAGCATATTCAAAAAGTTCTGAGAATTTTCAATTTTTACCTCCGAAAGCACCAACTATAGATGGAAATGTTTCACCAAATACCTCCATCAGTTACCTAATGATTGGGGCATTTTTTCTATCAACTATATAAAATGTTCATACACACCTAACAATTTTAAAAAATAAAATAAAAAACACACATTATTTTAAAATCAATGTATTCATCGCTCCGCTCGAAATCAAAAATATAATTTTTTTTCTTCAAAAATGTTGATTTGTTATGAACTCAAATCATTAAAAAAACAACATTTCCAAAAACGTTGAATTTTATTTAGATAATAAGTATTTCTGTAAAAATAAATCAATCTGTATATAGTGCAGTTATAATATACAATAGTCATACATTTTCGTTAAATGCCTGCATAATAATCAATAAAATAAAGCACAACATTTATCAAAAACATATTAATGTAAAGATATCTACTTTGTTCTTTGTCTAATCTATTAAACTATAAATAATATATCAAATATAAAAATATAAAAATATAACATAAAATATAAAATATATATATATATTAATATATTATATATCTGTAAATTGACTGTAATAGATGCATTCATAGAACAATATTAGAATATGTAATAATTGTCATATATATTTTTAATATTTAAGTATACACATATAATTAGTAGGTACTATTATGGGTATTATTGTCTTTTTCGCTATCAATATCTTATTTAGACTCAGGATCTATAAAAAAAACTTTGCCCTAGCAACCCATAGAATATACCTGAGTAGCACCCAAAAGTGATAAGAATATAATGTTGTAACTAACAAGTAATAGGTAAGTCACACACTCCCAGCTGAAGTTTTTGAAGACAATGTGATCGATATACGATCGCGCGTTTTCCACGAACGTGATTCTATATTTTTTGATGCATCTCGACGTCTCTATTTTTTTTATATATAAATATAGATACCTATGTATATTGTGTATAGGTATTTATTGTAACAGTAATAAACTAATAACAAATAATCTGTGTTTGGTGGATATATATTTGTTATACTTGTTGTATCCTTTATCCAGTTTTGTTTGAACTGTTGTAGAATCACTTTGTTTTGTGTCTTTTGTTTTGTAGAAAAACTCGGGAGCATTCATCCGTAATTACCTACCTATATTATTATGAGTGACAAAACAGAAAAATCCTTGTTCGATCCCTTCGCGTAATGACTGCTAAAACCACAATAATATGTGTATAATAACGGTACGAAGTACATCATAAGCCATAACTATATAAATATACACGAAATGACAATAAAAGTAATGTTCATGATTTTTGTATTTGAAATGTTATTTTTCTTTTTATTGGAGTCGTACAACACGCGTACCTATATAATATATTTGATAAAAATCAAAACAGTTCATTCGATTATATACTTATATATATATATAGTTTTGTAGGTATTAAGATTATATTATATTGTACCTATATATTATAAACATTAAGCACGTGGTATAAAAATGTTCCGTTTGTCTAAAGCCTATAATATACATTTAAAATATAATATTTTCATACTAAACATTTTAATGACTGTACATGATTCTGAGTATTCGTTCACAGTGGGTAGTTACCGCTAGGTTTTCATGAAAAACGTTCTTTCCAAAGACTGGCATTTATTGCTAAAGTATTACTCAATAAACTAATAAAGGCAAAAAACTTTTAAATTATTATACCAAATAACTAATATTTTTGCTACATTTATTTATAGAAGGTACCATTCAAGTTGTTTTTATTTAAATCATCGTAAGAGTATGAACAAGTAAATAACAGAAATCACTCAATAATTGTTCAAAATAAATTTAATTGTATAGGTAGTACCTACTAGGATTCGGCAAAAAAAAAAATTCATTGATGGTTCGACAAAAGTTTTAGAGTTGAGTCCTCTCTACTTGCTCGAGAACAATACGTGCAATGGATTACATTAATTAATAAGTACTCGTTCTAAACGCACTGACGAAGCCTGATGAACGGATGAGAAGGTTTGTCCGATAGGTGATGACAATCGTTTGGAAATAAAAAAATTACCTCAAATGCTTTTGAAAATTTAAAAGATTTATTTGGAATTCCCGGGGGAAAGAATTTTTGAATTTTTGATAGCCATAATATAATATTGATTCAGAAGTTCCTCGCTACTCGGTAGTTTATGAAGTCTAGTGGAGTTTCATCAAAAGTTTGAGCCATCGATTATTAATCGAGCTAGCAATAATGGGAGAACACGAATTTCGAAATGACGATATATATAGATAGGTGAAACACTACAATTAAAGGTACCGTAATACGTTCTATAATTAAATAATGTAGATTTAATATGTGAAAATCAAATGTGATGATGATCGTAAACAGTTAAAATTATATTTTACGAATCGTATTTATCATAATGTGAGAGTTTCTGTAAAGTTACAAAAGATATTTCTTTTTTATAACACATACAGGGCAATTGATATCTCTAAAAATATTTGGACCTTATAGTTTTAAAATTCTAGTGAGTAAAATATTTTCGTTCTGGTTCTATCAACTATAATGTAGTTATATTTAAATTGCATTAAAAATATGCAAATCGAGGTAACTTACGATTTTAAAATGGCAATACTCGAGTTATACACTTTTCGTTTAGTTTTGTACTTTTGTCCGACATGGGACGATGAATGTGACTATGGATTTACATTTTTGTTGAAATTTATACATTTACAGATACCTAGTAATATTAGATAATACATTATTTGTGGCTTTGATTTCGGAATTTGTTGAGTATGCTCAGAATTACACGTGTGTTGTAAAATCAAAATTTAATCAATACAATTATTAATCGTTACCTCAATTTTTTTTATTTCAAACAAAGGTTATAATTTCATCTGCAATATAAATTAACAAATGATTTTTTATTTACTTTACGGGTCAACGGAAAAACTTAAATCTCCCGGGAAAAAAAGTTAATAGAAATATTTCAAAACTAATAATATTCTATATTTATTAGAATTCATAATACTATATATTTATAAGTTTTTTTGTATACGAGTACAATATACCTAATTACATTTAAACTATTAATTTTTTTATTGGAACAAAAATCCGCGGAGATACTAACAATTTATTATTGTACAGATATTATACTACTTCTATATTAGTGGATAGTTCTTCTGCTGAAAATTATTGTTTTATCGACTTTACATAAAGCAATAGCGATATTCATTAATATATATTAATAATTAATAACATATAGTTACTTCGGTCGGAAATCCATATACTTATGTGCATTGCGATTCAAAATTTGAAAAAAGATACACTGTGGACAGTACCTATATTGTATTAACTCGCTAGTCGCTACCGTGTCTAATTGAACACCTAATTAGTAATAAATTATGTTTATCGTGTATTATAATTTATATTATTTTATAGGTGCTAATGATATTATATTCTAATCCGTTTACGTGACGTTGTTTGGTCTACAGGTGATGGTACAGCGGCACGAGGAGCTCCGGTACAGGAAACACGTGCACGTGGTGCGTGTGCTGCTGATCAACGTGATCGTGGTGCTGGTGATGTGGCTGCCGATCACTGTTGTGATGTGCCTGATCTACGTGGACGGCAGCCGGGACACGGAGGACACGGGATACTTCCTGAGGTCGCACCACTTCATCATGGGCCTGCTGTTCGCGCTGCTCAACACGGTCGTCAACCCGATCCTGTACGGCGTGCTGTCCGAGAACTTCCGCAAGTGTTTCGCCCGACTGTGGTTCATTTCGAAGCGGCGGCGGGCCATGCACAGGGAACTGCTGGACAACGCCAGTAAGGGCGCCCGGACACCCAGCAACGGCCACTACAACTCGACAGTGCAACCCGGCAGTTCGGCGTCCGTGGTCGAGCTGCCGGCCACCGTGGTCGCGTCGTCGTCCGCCACCAACGAGTGTTGGTGAGGTGCGCCGACACTCAAACCATCCGCGAGGTCAGAACGGAACAGAACTGCAGTCGCATAAAATGTCATTATTATTATTATTATTATTATTATTATTATTATTATTACTATTATTTTTATTGTAGTAAATTGTAATATCGTAGGCACTCTATTAAATATTATGACTTATAACATATTACCCCTTATTTTTTGTATAATAACAATTATACTATGATGTATTATACGTAGGTACCTATGTAATATTGTATTATTAGCGCAGTAGAACTTATGTATATATACATACATATATTTATGAACTCTTTCAGTTGCAAGTAACTGCAGGTTGCAAGTAGGTACACGAACCATATTACTATGTTTTATACACCACTTTACCTCCAACAATCCAAACCTCCCTAGTCCCTGCCCTACACTCGTTTAGCAAATACCTATATTATATATGTGTGTGTGTTTGTGTGTGTGTGTGTGTGTGTGTGTGTGTGTGTGTGTGTGTGTGTGTAGATTAGGTCACGTTTAGGACTTGATGGTGCCCAACCTGACCTGGTCACTTATGAGGTATTATGGATTATAGCGCAATGTGCTCACAATTTAGTTCCCGATAAACAGCCCCAAGTAAAGACGACCCCCTCCCCCCAATCCACCCTGAAAGCACGCCATGACATCGGATGATCTCACTATAATAATTTATTATTGTAATGTAAATACTAAATATATTATTATTATTATAAATACGATATAGACTTATCTTATACATACCTATACAGTATATACATGTTATATAATAATAATATAGTGCCTATAGGTACATAATAATAATATATTAGTTATTAGTATAGCCTATACCCGTTATTCCGTATTCGTCATACATTTATTGATTGTTGTTATTATTACTATTATTATTACTGTCCTATTGATATTATATTATATCGTATATTTTTCTAGTTTTTAGAAAGTCATTTTTTTTTTTGTATTTGTTCCATAAACGTTTTTTATCAATATGTTTCTATTCAAGAAAGCACTACAAAATATTATTGTAACTATGTGACTATTTATTTTTTAGATTAGTGTATGGTTATTTAATCAGAGTAACATAAGCAAATGTGGGAAACGATGTACCAAAGTGATTTTTTTTTATGATTAACATGTTATTTTTACGAATCCCACGTGTTACTCAATATGATTACGTTATAATGTATTATCTATATTATCCATATCGATATTTTTTTTACGAAATTATTAACTGAACATTTGTAAGAAACACACATACAATGATACATATAAACAGTTGTGAATATATTTTAAACAAATTAAACCATGACTTATGTTATTCTTATACGGTAACCTTTTACACTTAATGAAACAATAACTCAATTTACATTATTTATTTTACAGTTAAGTCAGGTGTTTTAAAATCAATGTTGGTCTTAACAATTAGTTTTCAATTCATTTTCCATCATTAAGCTCATTATCTAGGTCATTCAAAAGCCAAGGTTTCGAAACGATATACCTAATGGAAATAAATGAAAAAATAAACGAACTAAAAACGATAATAATTGATTACAGTTTAATATAATACATCATTAAACACAATTAAAGATTAACGATAAACCATTAACGTGGGTACATATGACTTGCAAATAACGTTATTCGAAAAAACGTATGTATGTGCTTATTTTGCATCGAAAACATTTGCTTAAGACTCTAGGATGATTGAAAATAATCTAACCGGGCCAACAAATTCTACTAATTTCCTCATTCTTACACTGTGGATTATGCCACAAATAAAAATAGAATTTCATAAAAAAAAAATTTTTATTCCCTAACTATTTATTTTTAAGTTATAACGCTTAACAAAAAAAAGAAAATTAAAATAACGTTTAAAAAATTGATACCGTAAAACGGAGAAAATCAGATAACGTGGAACCTTAAATTTGTAGGCATAACGTTTATAAATACCCAAAAACAAAAAAACATTATATTTTTTTAAATTTAAGCCCAGGTATATGTACTTAAGGTCTTTAATATTCCTCGCCAGAAAATCTAAGCCTGTAATAATTTCATGCAAATGCTCGACAGCGCATCACCGTTGCAGGTTTCTATCGGGTATTGTATCTTAGAAACTACTTGATCGATTTCAATAAAAGTTATAAGACGTATCAAAAGATTCCTTGAATATTTTTAGCTATTTTTCAACCCCATATATGTTGCGATTGCTGCTATATATAGGGTGGCTCACACATAAAATATTTTGTGTTAATGGTCGCCATTGGTTACAGATGATATTATTACTATAAGAATAAATTATTAGAATTAGATATTAATATGACATATTTTTTAACTATTTTTTTTTTTACAATATAAAACCCGTTTCAGACGAAGAGCTTTTAGATATTTAAAAGTAAATTTAATACTGACTGACTCTCAACTTTTGTAGGTATATAGTTATATAGTTACATTTTATCGATACGAAATTGACTAGTCAAGAGTCATAAACCTTATTAAAATACATAAGTATTGAAAAAAAAAGTCATGATGATCAAAACATTTTTGTTGTTACGTCATGAAGGCAAATAACTAGTTAATACAATTTAATAACATCAAATCTATTTTTTGTGGCTAAACTATATTTTTAAAGATTTTATTTTTAATTTTTTTTTGTTATACAGTTGAGGGTGCCTAGTAAAAAAAATTGAACTTATTAAATGGTAAATTAAAATCACCATAAAAGTAGTTTCATATATACCTACAATATATATGATGTAAGAATATGATTCGATTTTATCTTTAAAAAATTGAAGAATAATCCCCCTTTATCACCGCCACCATTACCTCCAGTTTTTCATCGTAAAACCGAACGACAAACAGATTAATTTAGCTTAAAATTTAAACTAATTGGTAACCTTTTCACGACATTTTTTAACTGATTTTAGCACGACATCGTTGTAAGTAACGAGTGGGCGTTTTGAAAGTAATTCAAGACGTTTCGAAGAATCATCTAATGTACAAAATGCCATGTTTAATGTTTAAATAGGTAGGTACCCTAAAAGCATCAAGTATAAAGATTCCCATAACATCAATACGAAATGTTCTTATTTATTTATTTATTATATCAAATATTTCTTGTTACGCAACATAGAAATACATGAATTATACTTTCCACTCTAATTGATTTCATAAAAAAATATCACCACTAAATTCAACGACAAAACAATTGTTATTGCCAGGTGATTCTTTTATCATGAACCACTAATTATTTCAAAAAGTATCCATATTTTCGTATTTAATTGGTATTTAATGTCACCCATGGGCGCCCGCAGGGGAGGTATTTTAGTTATTATTAATCGTTAATCGTTTTATCACTTGTAAAAACAAAAAATAATATGTGCTTTATCAGATTTTTGACCCTGATTTATATTTCTACTGGCAACTGGCGCCCTTGGTGCCAAATATGGCATTAGTGACTCGCTAGACTAAGTATTGATGGTCAATGAAAGACATTATCCGTTGTCGTAAAGGATTTTTGATTACACCCATGTGAACCCCTTCAAAAGTACTTACTATCTATAATTTAATAATATACTACTTTGATCGAGTGCAAGATTGTATACACTATTTAAGGTAAAACCTTTCAGTAGGTACCAATTGACAATATTATCTCGTATATAAGTGTTATATTGTACATAAATGTTATATCCTTATATGTATAAATATACATAAGTATGTAGTATAAATATTACTAAATTATAATGTGGTATCAATTAAATTCACTTTTTTAATGAAACTCAATGATGAATAATGTAATTACCTACTATGTGATGGAAATGTTTATTATGTTAATTAAAAAATTATCTATTGTAATTTATTTTCACATTGCAATGTTCCAAACATACCTGTATAATAATTAGTTAAGTCTATTCTGAAAAAAACATTATATTATGAATAATAGTATTGTACCTTTGTACATTTTGACTAACTTCATAGGTTGTATTTTTTGAACTAAAATTAACCACATTTTATGTATGAAACAAGGAACTATTCACAATAGGGCATTTTAAATTGTTACGGCAAAAATATGTTTTAATTCAAGGACATGCCATAAAATATATTGGAACATATGAAAGCGTATTGGATGATACTATTTAACATAACATTTTCATTAACTCAAAATTTGTTTATTTTAGGAAAAAAATTATTTTTAAATAAGTTATGTACTAATTTAGTGCTATATTTAAAAAAAAAATGATACCTTACCTATTTTTAAATAAACTGCACTATTGAGTTGTGATTTTTTTGGTATGGATATTAGACTAGGCTTAATGTTGTAATATAACTATACAAGGTTAAGTACTTACAGCTTATTTCTTCATTGGCCAATCACATGCCTTAGTCATTAAACTACATATATATTCAATTTTTATAAAATTTATAATAATACATCACCACAACACCACTATACTATGTCACCAACAGTTTAAAATTGTGAAATAGATTTCAAACTGTATGCAGTATGCACCATATGAAAAATATATAAATAAATACAGCTTTGTAGTGGAAGGATTTTTGACTGTTCCACCACCAAAGGTTGAATAAATCCATAATATAAAAGATTCTACACTTCATAAATGTTAACATTTCAAACAGCATTTCAGTTTATATAAAACAAAATATTTAATTAAGAAGTTTATCATACAAATAATCACATTTTAAATGTATAAAAGATACTTAATTCTATGGTTCCAAGTGACTAAATCTTAATTCACTCATCTCTACTTAGTGATGTTACCACCAATGCTCCGTGCCGGACTGGAAGATGGCCCTTGTAATACTTTTCTTGAAAGTCGCATCATTCCTGAAACGGGATCTCGGCCAAAGTACTTTATTTGAATCTCATGGCCTTCTTCTATACCTAACGCACTTGGATGGCTTATCTAATAATAAATTATTAAATTATAAACATGTTTAAAGAAGAATCAAACTGTAAAACGGTATAATTATTATCCACATAAAGTACTTAAAAAAAATTGATTTACTTTTCTTTGATCTAATTGAGAATTGTGAACTAAAGTTGGCTGCATAGATGGATACAATGTGACCATCACTCCAATTTCCCGTATTTCAACTACTTTTGCTTTATAAATAGCTCCAAATTCCAGTTGGGGTT